GATGCTAATGGTGCCATGTAATGCATTAGCGAACATGTTACTGATAAATAGGAATGAAATATTATTGAGTAGTCTCGAAGATCAGCTCAGAAAATATCTCAATTATATGGTATCACAGAAGGAGCTAATTAGGTTTTTCTACTGCAAAAGGCTGAACTGTGTGCAAGACTGTTGTACCAGGAGAGAAGGAAAGGATTGTGAGTGTCTGACTTTTGAAGAAACAGCCAAACAGGTCGCTGCTTGAAAGTTCAGAAATCAGTACAAAGCCAATGGCATAGGAGGAATCTTCAACCTCTGTTGTTTCCAGTGTTTTGTTGGCTGAAGGAATCGTTTATCTGAAACCTCTGAACCTTAGCCACTCAGCAGCAAGGATGAGACAGGCTCACTGGCCTCCCTGCAGACTATGACAGGCTAAAACGTGTTTCAGGCTGCATCTGCAGGATCCTGGCATTCTGCAGGGATGTTCATAGCAGACAGATCTGTCCTCAGCCCTGCTCCCGCCGCCAGGGAGAATCGGACTCTCCCTGTGTACCTTCTAAAAACAGGCTTCCCTAGCTGTATAATCCTGCAAGCAAAAATGCAAATATCGTTGTGCCTCTCTCTGAAAAATGCAATTATAATGACAACTCTCATACCACCTACACGTACAAATGGCATAAACATAGTTGCTGATGCACAACAAACAGATGACAGAGCTGAAAAAAAAAAGGGCTTCCTCTCATAACATGTTCTCTCCATAGGACATGTGATGTCCTATGCAAAGCATAGTGACTTGCCATTGATTTAGACTGATTATTTTTAACATTCCATTTACAATACACCTTTTAATCTTGTTTCATCTTAAGAATGCAAAATATGGACACTGTTTACACTAACACTAGGGGCTTTTGGGAAATAACCTCCTTAGAAGTGCAAAGTTACTACAATAAAAATTGTATGACCATATATCAGGTTTTTATTCAATACTTATTGCAGCCTGGACAGAAATGTGACTGGAAAGAAATCTAAACTATATTTACTTAAAAATATAAAATAAAAATAAAATTAAGCATTTCTATGCATTTTACCCTTTGTCTTTCACAAATTCCTCAAAGTTTGTATGTTAAACTTGTGGTTGAGGGAGATTTCTGCAAGTTAGTGCATAAATGTATTCACTGGGAGCTGTTGCAGAGATTGTCTTCAAAATTGTTCTGTAGCAGAACTGACTCAGAAGTGACTTGGTGAAGTTAGTATCAGGCCAGTTGATTGTCCCTCTTACAATTATGTATGTTACATTGATGCTGGCAGTTACTAGAAGTTGTCGCATCTTTCTGTGTACAAGCCAGTTCCAGATCTAGCAAAAGAATTGCATTTTTTTCTTGAAGATAAAATATTTCACCTGAAACTTTTGCTGTAGAAGGTAACTTACTGGGGGAGGTCAAGGACTGGTATTTGATGAATCCTGTAAAGAGTTCCTTTGAGCATTCAAATTTGCAATTGCTCTTCCATCTTGGACCTGGAGAGTGAGTATAAACAAGAAAGAAGGAGAATTGTAGGATCCTTTCTATTTTTACTTTTTATTTTTTTATTTTTTTTTTTAATCTTTTTGTAAGACCATTGTATAACTGCTTTTCTGAGAGCTTGACTGTTGGCTGCCTACCAGCAAATATATAATTAATATACACCTGTGTTGGATATAAATAGTGACAAATATCCTCACGTAGCATTGATCTGCATGTTGCTACCACCCACATGACAGTTGCTTTACTTCCAGCTGGTTGGAATGGACATCTATTAACCAAAATCAACTCCGCAGCTGTATCTTTCTGTATAAAATAAATCTGCCCCGTCTGATCGCAGAAGTGTAATATTTCTAGCATCGAGTCTGTCTGTGCCCTGGTCTTTAAAGCATGATGCAGTAAAAAGGAAGAATGAAAGCAGTAGGAGGGTTGGAAGAAGCTGCCCCCAGAACACAACAATAGGTAAATCCATGAGGGCATGTTGTAACCTTGAGAAAAACCTCGAAGACTGAGAGTGAGGTAGGAGGATTGCAAGTTCCTCCACCTCAAAACTGCCCTTAATCTTGGTGCAGCCTACAATTTGGCTTGCATTTCTCTCTCTCCTTGCTTACTATCCCTTCTTTTTTTTTTTTTCTTTTACTCTTTGTCATTTCCAGCAATTAGTGTAAATCTGTAGTAATATCTAAGTCTTACTTTTAATAACAGTGTAGTTCTACTCAGCACTGCAAAGCTGAGAAGAAATAGACAAATCACACTCCTCAGATACTGAAGATACTGCAAATAGGAAGAAAAAATAAATCAAGGACTGGCAAAAAGAAGCTCTGCCTATTAATCTGCATCAGTTCTGATGAGCAGATACAAAAGACACAAGAAAGTTGAAGATGATAATACTAGGCAATGAGAGTAAATCACAAAATATGAGGATTTTTTTTTTTCAAATCAGGGCTGGTAAGAGTTTAAAGGTCAGTTCTAGAATTGTGAGTGAGTTCACCAATCAAGAAAGGGATATAGAGAAGGTTGATAGTCTTTCAGATTAAATGTCAATAAGAGTTTCAAAAGAGAAGCTCATGCGTGGTGGCAGGTTTGAGGGAGCCGTATTCATACCGAGTGCTGACAGCAGAAGAATCAGCCTCAGCCATTGTAAAAGGAAAAGGACAAAGATGAGAAAAGGGAGAATCAAAATGAAGTGCAGGAAGTCTGCAAAATTAGAGCACTTTCTCATACTTGCTTCAGCATCATGGGATGAGGAGCTGGAGGAGAATCAGACCTCAGGATATGATAGCACCGTGGTGTCAGTAACAGAAAGGACAGTTTGTCAGAGGCAATATGAGAAACTGTATTAAAAAGGTAGAGAGGACTGTGAGAGATGGATGTAAAAAGTGTCTGACAGGGTGAAAAGAGAAAGCCGGTGAAGCTGAATTAAAATAGGTGATGAGTAAATGGAAGTAATTCAAGCAGTGAAAGAGATTTTGAGGTTTCCATAGCAAGAGAGTAAGGACATGTTGAAATGATGGGAATTTCCAAGAAGTTTTAAAAAGTATTTGAAAATGAGGTCAGATTCACTGACCTTCCAGGGTCACTATAGAAACTGAAGGATAAGACTGGAAGCCTGGAGGTCTGCATAGGATGAGCAGCCAGAAGTTACCTAAAGTGGTAGGGGAAGGTGCTCTCCGGGGGTAGGCCAAGAGGGAAAGGGGGCAGTTACCCAGCAGCAAGCTGCTCGAGTACAAGGACGTCCCAAGAGGTGGAGGGAGCCCACTTGATGACGTGGCAGGAGGGGAAGCATGCCCCTGAGTTTGGAGGCTGGCTTCTTGGACTCAGAATTAAACACTTGGAGCTTGGATAAGACTCTAGCTTACTTCTAATTATCACTAAGACAAGTCTTGGTCTCCTGGCCTACAGTATGCATATGTAGCATTGCTCAGAAATTTTCAAACAAAGCAGTTTTTCTTTAAAAGGAAAGCAAATGATGTGTCTGGAGAATTGTTCCTTAGGGTATATTTATAGAACAGAAATGGCTTACATTGATTGTTAATTAGAGCTGCACAAGACAGCAGTCTTCCTGTACATGTTTGCTAGGTATTTCCATAGGAGTTTCCTTTCTCCCTTCTGATATTGGTTTTGCATTGTATCTCTGACTCCTGACACACCCAATCATTACCCTGTATAGATAGAAATTAATTTAAAAATGTGAGTCACTTCATGCACAGAATATCCTCAGCTAATAAACAGTGCCTAAAATTTCCTCCATTTTGCTTCTTTTTTCAGTTCATTTTAAGTGTCACTTCTTTACTACATCTTGACATTTAATATGAAGCATTTCATCTACCAGAAATACATCTGAGTTTTCAGTTCAAGAGTCCAATTAAGAAAATGCTCCCAAGTGCATGCATTTTCCTTTATTGAACTTCAAGTTCTCTGCAATGTCATGTACAAAACAAGTTTAAAATCAAGGCTTTTGTGGAAGAAATAGTTCTAATCTGAAATATTACCATGTCCTCCTCATTATGCTTTCTTACTTCCAAAAACCTGGGATAAAACAGTTACTACATTGTCCAATTTTTGCTTATTGCCTTTTTTTATTTTTTTGACAGTTATTTACATAGGCATCACAAATACCTGTACATTGATAAAGTTGTTGGTATCCTCCTGCTTTAATATTTAAATGATTGAAGAGGTTAATGGCAATTTTAAAAGTAATATTGATTAATGTATTTCTAAACAAAAATCTTTACTGTTTTAATGAATTTCATACTTGTGTTAAATGACTGATAATGAGCAGTAATGAACAAAGATCAGGCTTTCTCCTGTGGGTGTTGGAATACAAGTTAAAGATACACAGCAAAAAAGAGAATTTATATCACAGAAACACCCAAGTCACAAACCAACGGTTTCTCTAAACCTGTTCACGTCTTTTCTCTCGCTGTTGTGACTCTCTCTTCAGGAGCCAGTGAGTCCCTTTTGTGGACTCTGCTTGTGATTACGTTTTTGTGCTGCTGTGGCTTTTCAATGCAAAGCCGTGAAGAATGGAAATGGAAATGCTCAGACCTTTTAATTTGGGAAGGTCTCATGGTGGAGGAATTGCTTATTGCACTTGATCAGTGGGTGCAGCAGCTATATCCCTAAGAGGCGATGAGGTGGCTTCAGTTCCCTCAGCATTGTGGCAAGTCTGTGACAAGGGGCACACATCACTTGTTGCACCATGGACATGACAATACTGCCTGTGACAGAAGACATATAATATCGATTTCTCCCATGGAACAATGCAGTATAAAACAAGAAGGATCTCCATCGTTTATAAAAGCTCTTTGTTGAAATGCTTTCAAACACAGAGAGCTTTTGCATAAGCTAGTATCCTAACAGCTACTCGCTGGTATTTGTACACTATTCTTTCGGGTTTAATTACTATGCTTTATATTGTTCAAATATAAGTATATGGCATTTTATGGAAGAATGTGCATGGAAGGACATTTTTTTCAGTAGAGGAATCTCTGTTTTCAGATGCATATGTCATAAAGCATGCTGCAGTCCTGTATATACTCCCTTGGCCCTTTGACCAGTGCAACCAGGAGACAGTTTATGGAAGAATTGCCTTACACTTAAGGAGGAAAGGAAGTGAAATACTGGTGAGTAAAGCTTATTTGTGGTGCAAAATTTTACTAAACACTGATTTTGAAAAACATTCTTTAAAGTTTTGTTTTTTCTGCTCCTAATGCCAAACATTTTTAGTACAGAAAGTCTACAGCCTGTTTCAGTAGGTGACAGTTTTTTATAGAAACAGGCATGTCTAACATACCCATAGGTGGAAACGTCACATTCATGGCACATATGGTTTGGGAGTAGAAGTCTTCATCCTGAGCTAATTCGATCTTAATAGCAGGATTTGGGATATAGCAGTTAAATAACAACTACAAATAAAAAATAAAAAATAAATAATAATAAAAAAAAAAGAAGACCAGCGATAGACCAGTTCTGATGCCCTTCTTTAGAATGAATGAGTACACTTAATGTAAATGTCTCAAGTATACTAAGCTAAATTCAAGCATCCATATTTAAATCCATATTGACTGTTGTTAATAAAGGCAGATAGTTTCAGGTCCACTTCTGGTTGAACTTCCGGGTGTGTATTAAGACCAGTGAATTATTGGAGCCTTTATCTGTCTCTTCATTTTGTTGAAGAACCATAGCTTCCTCATGTACGTGGAATTCACTATACCTTATGGTCCCACCTGTTCATATTTGGAACACATATTGTATACTCACTAATTTACAGCTTGAAAAATAGACTATACAAAGTGATGCAAATCTCTGCTAGCATACTAAAAAAAATATACAAAAAAGCAATTTATAGGCAGTAAAACTTTCTGAATGTGTATTTCTTCAGAGTGCAGTTTTGTAACCAACAGTTTAGATCAGTATGTACTCGTTCTATTAATTAAAATGATAATCATACCTCGTATTGCACGCAACATTGAGGTGCCTCATTTTTCACAGTATATAAAATTGAAACAGTAACAAACAAACCTTTCCAGAGAGACACTGTGGTAATTTTATAATATTATAGGCTTTCTAGAGCCTTTCTAGTGGTTGACAGTCATTTAGGGCTTTTAGCAATTTGGCTTAAGGTAAACAACTTCATAGCACCAAAAGTTCAAAGCTTGTTTGAACAGTCTGAAATTGCAGTGATGGAGATAACAGAACAATGTAGAAACCACTTAGGGTATTCAAAACCAGACAGAAACAGGTGCCAAATGAATTAGAAAGGAATTTGATTTTACTTATTACTCCTTGAGTGATAATTTAGCTGAATAAAAACCAGCTTGCTTTTCTGCAGGCCAACTCCAATTAGTATACTGTGTTGGCTACGTTTCTCACATACACAACCCAGTGGCCACTCTGCTCCATGCGTGTAATTGGAAGGATGCTCTTTGACTTTCCTTAGCTCTTTGCTGTGATCAGGGTGCATACTTTTGCTACCTGCCAGGCTACTTCATGTACAGCTTCTGTTAGGGCGTGCTGCTAACAGTTGTTCCAGCAGTAATGATTAATCGGGCTTGCGGGAAACCCGCTTACAGCACTCTCCCTGCCCTATTCTGCAGTGAGGAAAACACCTGATGTGGCATATTGGCTGCTTCATACAGTTGAGCTTAGTGGCTTTCCCACCAGCTCCTGCCGGTATTGGTGCACAGTGCAGCTTTTGGGAAATATGGGGGCTTTTTCCTCCCCAGTGATTTCCATTCCTGTTCTGTATCTCAAATTTTCATCGCTTTAATTTCTGAGTATCTGTTCAGTTACAAGTCTGCTCAGAAGACAGACTAAGATGTCTTTTACTGTTATTTGTGGAAAGCTGTGAAAACAGTGTATTTGAAGGAGAAAAAATGAAAAGTGAAACCAGTCAAGCATATTGCCCATTCAGGAGCCAAAGTTGATGCCTGTGAAAACATACAGTAAGGAAGCAGTTGAACTTGTCTCCCTAGGACCAAGCCCTTTCCCCATCCCTCAGAAGGAATCAGAGACAGGAGGTAGGATTTCTCTGGGTAAGATATAGAGCAACCAGACACAGCTTGAATTTTCCAGTCAGCCTACAGGGATCATTGTCTTTTCAAGTGCTGTGAATAAAGTTGCAGAGTTGTTTTTGGGTTTTCAGTTTTTCCTTGCTTGTACATATGGGAAACTATGTCAAACATACATTTTCCTCTGATTCCACACAGCCATGTTAGTTTTTATTTGCAATCACAGAATCGTCTGGGTTGGGAGAGAGGAGAGACCTCCAAGATCACCGAGTCCAACCTCTGATCTAACACTAACCAGTCCTCCACTAAACCATATCCCTAAGCTCTACATCTAAATGTCTTTTAAAGACCTTCAGGGATGGTGACTCCACCACTTCCCTGGGCAGCCCATTCCAATACCTAACAACCCTTTTGGTAAAGAAGTTTTTCCTAATATCCAACCTAAGCCTCCCCTGGCACAACTTTAGCTCATTCCTGTCCTGTCACCAGGCACATGGGAGAACAGGCCAACCCCCACCTCACTACAGCCTCCTTTAAGGTACCTGTAGAGAGCGATAAGGTCTCCCCTGAGCCTCCTCTTCTCTAGGCTGAATAAGCCCAGCTCCCTCAGCTGCTCCTCGTAAGACTTGTTCTCCAGACCCCTCACAAGCTTCATTGCCACAGCTGTACTAAATCATTCCTCTTAATGACATGAATGTAAGTTGGAAATACTGCAGTGATATGGTTAATTTGTACCCTTGAACTACCTATCTAGCTGGTGGTAGTGGTGTTGCCTAAGATGCAAGTCAAGCAGAATTTCTTAATGTTGGAAGTGTGACCACAGCATTTTTACTATTACCTACACAGTGTTCTCAGGTATGTACCCTGCCATATGTCTCAATTAAATGCTTACACATTAAATATATATATATATAGCAACACCGAGACATGGTTTGTTATGTTTTTTTCTAGTGTGCAACACAAGATGGCTGATGGTAGTTAGCTGTTGTTAATGTACAAAGTAAAAAATATACTAAAATATGCTAAAATACCTAAATTGTATGTAAGAAGAGTGATTCAAGTATTCAGCAGCACTACTTAAATTACTTTTCCTGTGAATTCTGTAATGCCTACCCCTTTCATTTTTATTAATTATTCAGTGCGTTGTCTAAACAGAAATCCTGGTTTGTTGAATCTCTTGGGAATTCTGCTGTTGGTTTCTGTGTCTCGAGACTTTGGTGCAGGATTTGTAACAATTAAAGATGGTTCAAAGATGTAACAATCACAGAAAACTCACTGTCTTCGTTTTTGTCTCCTTAAAGTTCTTTATTGGTTTTAATAGCCCCAATCTGTCTATAAGCTTATAAAAATTGTTTCTAAAGTAAACTTGTTTGCCTTGGAGCTTCTGTCAGTTCTTCCCTCTTTCATTTGAACAATTTATTTACCTTGACCTAAGGAACCTGTCATTTCTGCCAGATTCTTCTCCTATTACTTCAAAGACAGGTGTCTAGAGTAAATCTGTGAGAAAATTGTTTTATTTTCACTTTTTTTTTTCCTGCTAAGTACATAAAGTTGAAATATATTTCTGCCCCAGCATTCCTTTTCACTAGCTCAGTGCAATACAGTAATTTCTGTCTTACTTGAGCATATTAGCTTCTGCATAAAGTTAATTCACATTGGGACGTTAAAGCCTCTAATATGAGAACTTTGCTTTTCCTGTAGTTACAAACCTGTTGTATTAAGCAGAAAAGGCCACATTAGGTCCTGTTCACATCTGGGAGATCTGTCTATGTCAGACGGCTTGGGGTATAGTGCTTGTGAAAGAACTGGCTCACAGTGAAAGAAGAAATACACACGCAATATTGTTTTCGAGTTCTTAATGGAGCTACCAGGCATGGTAGAAATTGTGTTACGGTAAATGTACTGTGTGAGAGCAATCCTGTGATACCATTAATGTATCAGGATCCCTGTTCCCTCCCCACAAAGGCAGATTTAAAAAAGTAAAAGCCCTGTCTTTATCAGGTTGGCCTGCAAGCCTCACCTCTTCTGCAGAGCTTTCCCCGAGTAACTGGAGCAGAAGCAGCAGCCTGCAGGGCCCCCAAGGCTGCAGGCAGACAACCAAACCCTGGAGTAAGACAGAGATTTGATTGCCCCTTTTAGACAGATTTCACTATCCTGCATCATGGGCTGTCAACAGCAACTGCATTCAACAGCCATAGCAGATGAGAGGATTGATAATCAAATGGTTAAACTGTGCAAAAGGGTACGGATGTTTAATACTAGTGAGGAAAATATCAAGACCTACCTAAAGCACAGGTTTAACACACAGGAGATTATTGCCACAACTCATTTAAACGGTGATTTAAGAGAGATTTTCCCCTCACGAGTAGCATGTTTTCCCATCTGCAAGGTCCAGATCTCCCAGTGTTTACAGAGTAAAATATCTGCTGTGGCACACTGTGGCTGGCATACCTGAGCAAATAACTCCTTTCATGTTATCTGCAATATTTGATAATTCTAGTGTACCGAGTTCAAAATCAGCTGTCCTTTTGATGTAAACAGAGTAATCCATATTTCTTATGTAGAATGCTCTGTGGATTTACTTTTCAGACTAAACTTTTCAAGCACTGGTACTCAGTACCAGATGCATGCCTTTGTATCATTTTGGAGCTGTTGTGTGTCGTATTGCTGGAAAACCACATGGTTATCCTGCAGTTCTTGGTTTGTTTTGTTGTTGTTTTCTAAGTGAAGTGGACAAGTAAGAGACCGGTATAGGATTTTAATACTCTTAAAGAAAATGGGCTGTTACTACAAAATACACAGCCGAGTTAGAAATTGCTAGAAAGTGCAAGTCTTCAGGTTTACCTCCTTTTCTATTGCTGTTGTGAACTCACTTCAAAGAGTGACCTTTTTACTTTTATCTGGTGCACATTTGAAATAAAAATCCCTGTCTCGTGCTGCTGTAAAGCAGGGGAGCTCATAATGCTGTGGGAGATACACAGGGAAATGTGTGAGTACCCTCTTGAGCCCAATCCATACCCTGTGGGTGTCTGCAAGGCAAAAGAAGTCACCTGGCTTGGAAGGAAAGCAGCAAGAAGGCAGCGGTGCCGGAGTGCAGCTTCTGATGCATTTGT